GGTGCTGTTGCCCACAAAGAATCGAGGGGCTGGTGCTGTGGGCACGAGGAGGGCGGAGGTCAGCCGTATGCTGAGCTGGGGTTGTTAGGATGCAGGGAAGGTCGGGAAGCAGGACACAGCCACGTGACCCTTGGGTTCGCCTTCGAGCACTGGAATTCGAGCTGGGGGTTCTACCCTGCAGGCTGGCCTTAGGCCCCCCCCCCCCGCTCTCGGGGAGGCCCTCGAACCCCACTCAGCAGTCTCCTGTCTGCTGCTGTTCCACCCCCAGGAGTGCTCCATGTGAGATCTCTCCAGGCCTCAGTGCTCTCTGTAAAACAGGAGCAAGAACAACTCCTCAGGGGTTTTGGAAGGAAGAGGTGCTTTTACGTGTGGACAGGGGTGTGCTATTCTTAGTATGAGGTCAGGCGAGGGGCGGAGTCCAGTTAGGGTCTGACTAGGGTCAGGGTGGGGTCAGGAGGTTCAGGGGTAGCTCCCAGGTGGCCTTCAGGGCAGGGCACAGTGTCTTCCAGACCCACAGCTGCTAACCCTGCCATCGCTCCTCCCCAGCTCACCGTCTACCTGGGAAAGCGGGACTTTGTGGACCACATCGACCTTGTGGACCCTGTGGGTGAGTCCTGGCGGGCAGGGGGCAGGAGGGAGGTTGGGGGGCAGGTGGGGCTAGCTGAGTTCCCAGGAGTTAGCACTCCGGGCTCCAGAGCAGCCCGAGCACGAATGGTTTCCTGCTTCAGTCGTCATGCATTTACTGAGCAGGTGCATTCCCGTCTGGGGGAGGAAGGACCCCGGGAGAGGAAACCGTGGGGACAGGAGGGGCCTGATGACGGTGAGGGGAGGAGATGACCACGGCAGCCTCCACTCGCCATGAGCGTATTACACGGAAGACAGTGGGGCAGCTGTGACCAGCATCCCTGCCCGTGGCCGCAGAGGAGGGGCAGGAGGCACAGAAAGGCAGTGACTCGTCCCAGGAGCCGGGTGCACCCTGGCGGACTGGCTCCCAGAAGCCCTTCGCTCTGGTGCCTCCTGTTGCCAAGAGGTGGGGGTGAAGGGACACCTTCCTGGGGCTCATGAAATAGGGTCGTTCTCATCTAGCTCGGGTCATGCTGGAGGCGAGAGCACCTTCCCAGGGCTCGCTCCAGTTCGGGGTTTCTGTCTCAACCTGGCCCAGCGTTTGGCTAGCTCTCCCTTGTGGATGGGCGCTGTCCTGGGTGACACGGGCTGTTTGGTGCCCCCACCCCAGCCCCCGCCTGTGTCTGGTACATGCTGGGCAGACTCCCACCCACTATGACAACCCAGCACGTCTTTAGACATTGCCATTGTCCCTGGGGGGGACAGTGTCTCCCTGGTTAAGAACCACTGCTCCCCTGGAAGAGCCCTGGTTCCACTCTCTTTGCCCTTGACTTGAGAGGAGAAAGGCCCAGAATTACCCCTATTTTACAGAGACAGTGAGGCCCAGAGAGGGTAAATGACTTCTTTTTTTTTTTTTTTTTTCTTAAGAGGGGCATAAACAAATCAAAGAAAAGCCAAAGGGGTGACAGGTTGGGAGGACGAGGACTGGAAACCGGCAGGTGTTTCTGGGGGAGTGTCCCAGAGACTGGGGCCTCTCTCATCACACCCTTGGGATCTGCCCTGGACCAGGAGTCTCTCTGGGTGGGAGTGATCCCTACTGTTCCAGAACCCAGTGGCAGGGGACAGGAGACCTGGGGGTCTGTCAGGGGTGAGGCCAGCCCCATGCCAGGCTCCTCCTTTGGGGTCCAGAGCACGGCCTTGTGTTTCCTCTGCAGCCCTGTCTGCGGACACTGGTGACTTCTGAAGCTGAGTGTCCCCTCTGCCATTTGCCTTTTTCCTGAACTAGCCCCCAGAAGCAGTGAGCAGGCAGCAGGGGGTCCTCTGTGGCCTGCTCTGGCCCTGGTGTCCCGTGGGCTCTCCAAGGCCAGGCTCATTGGCTTATTGAGAACAGCAGCAGGGGCAGCCCAGGGAGGCAAGGGCAAGTGGGAGCCAGGGGCCCGTGTGCATGCAGGAGCGGAGAGCCATCGACCAGTGTATGTGACACCTGCTTATACCCGTGGTGCCCTGGGGTCCAGAGAGCCCAACCACTCGCTGTCTTCCACCAGGACCTTGCCCTGACCTGACTCTTCCCTCACTATGCCCGATGTGCTCCGTCAAACCCCAGCACAAGTCCGAGCCCCTGGCCTGACTAATGGGACATTCGAGATCAGGCCTGGCCCTCCTCCCCACAGGCCTCTGAGCTTGTTCCCCCTCTGCCTGCCTTAATCCTGTGAGACCTGCTCCAGCATCCTCCTCTCAGAAACCCCCCATGACCAAGGGGCAGTCCAGTACCCTGGCTGGGACCCCCTTTCCACCTATCCCTGCTGAGCTCCCGACCTGGTGCCAGACTTGGCCAGGGGACACACCCATCATGAAAGGAAAGAAGGTGCCATACAGGCAGGCCCTGGGACAGAGTAGGCACGCCCTGCCAGCTGTCCCTTGGACTGTCCAGGACTGGGACCTCTCTGGACACTCACTTCCTGCAAAAAGTTTCTGTGGGAGCAGGCTGGGATGAGACTGGGGGCGCATTAGAGTGTGAGCGGGGAGAGAGAGAGAGGAAGAGAGAAAGAGAAATGTTTGGCCAGAGGTAAGCAGGAGATGCCAGGCAAGGGGGTGACTCCTGAACCAGGGTTTTGGGCCTCTTGGGCGTTGGGCAGAGGTGGTGTCCCTGTGTCCAGCTAGGCCCTCCAGGGCAGGCCTCAGGGCAAAGGCGCATTCTTCACTTCCCACACCTCCCCTGGACACGTCCCATGCATGACGCATTTGCACGGGGACACGTCTAGTCCTCCCAGGAGCCCGTTGGGTGTGCGGGATAGGGGAGAGCACTACAGACCACGTCTTCGGAGCCACAAATCTCAAGTCCAGAAAACTCTGGAAACCTCCAGTTGTCCCTAAGTGCGATGCAGAATCTATTTGGTGGCGAAACCTGACCTGAACTGCTGGGAGGTCGTGCTTCATTTCACCTGGTGAGGCCGGCTTTTCCCTGGGGAGGCAGGTAGCTCTGACCATAGGGAGCAGCGGCCGCGGGGCGTCACGGAGCACAGCACCACGCCGCCTCTCTCCAGCACAAGACGGCTGCATTCCGAAGTGCCCGTGGTGCTAACGATAACCTTTGTTATTCTCTTTTTTTTTTTTTTGGAGAGGTTTTCGCTATAGGGCACGTGCACTCGCCAGACAGACAGAGAGAGACATAGAGACAGAAAGCGAGAAATCACCCCCCAGGGGGGATGGTCACGCTGCAATCCCTTCTCCTCCATTCTCCTCTCGGGATCTTGGGCACGCGCGCACATGCGCCCGGCGTGAGTTCTAAGTCACCGGGTCTGGGACGCAAACCGTGGTCGACTACGTGGGAGTCCAGGGACATAGCCATTACACTAACTGCTGGTTCCCAACCTTTGTTATTCTTAACTAGCAGATGAAGAAATTGAGCCATGAAAGCCGGCAGGGCCTGGAAGGCTGCCTGGGACCAGGCGGGAGAAGGGCCTGGAGAATGCGGGTGCCTGGGTGCTGGCCTTTCTCTGTATGGATGGGCAATGGTTAGGGCTCAGTTTGGGAGGCCAAGCTGGGAGCGCCGCTCACTCTCTGTCTCTCCCCAGATGGTGTGGTCCTCGTGGATCCTGAGTATCTCAAAGAGCGGAGAGGTAGGCTGTACCCTCCCGCTGCCTGTCAAGGAGCCCTCTCTTCCCCACCAAGCTCCAGCTCAGGGCCTCCCCAACCTGTGCAGGACATCAGCAAATCTCATTGCCCCTCCCTGCCCAGCCCCGTTGGTCCCCCACCCCCCACCCCTAGTGTGTGCCATTTCCCCACTTCACATCCGTGTTCATGACTATGGCGAGGTTGGGGATGCCAGTTAGGCATACAGCTGGACAGGAGGTAGGGCCTTCTCCTAGAGGCCAACAGCCAGTAAGTAAGGGACTGCCCCAGACCAGGACCACAGGAGCTGGGCCTTTCTGGGTATCAACCAGCACTCGCCCCCTTTCCCTGCTCCTGCCACAGGCTGCACCCCCTGCCTGCCAGACCCTTCCCTGTGCCCCTCCAGCAAGCCTTGGCTTGGGGTTGGAGAGAGGAACAGAACTGCCCATGGGTAGCACCACCTCCTCAGGGCCCAGCCATGAGCAGCTCTCCCCAGACCAGACACTGGCCTGCCAAGGGGAGTCGGCTCTGCCCTACACCCAGGCCAGAGTGGGCCTGCGGCCTGGGCTGGGCCAATTTAGGGCTGCAGCTGGCTCTCTGGGGTTGGTCTACAACTGCCCCAGGCCCCTCCTCAGTGGCCCCCTCCTCCCCACAGTCTATGTGACACTGACCTGCGCCTTCCGCTATGGCCGGGAGGACCTGGATGTCCTGGGCCTGACCTTTCGCAAGGACCTGTTTGTGGCCAACGTGCAGTCCTTCCCACCGGCTGCCGAGGACAAGAAGCCCCTGACGCGGCTGCAGGAGCGCCTCATTAAGAAGCTGGGCGAGCACGCCTACCCGTTCACCTTTGAGGTCAGGACCGCCCCCCAGGCCCTGTTCCTGAGTGCCACTTCTAGACAGACATGTGGGGCAGCCACTCCGTGCCCCCAGTGTCCCAGTGGACCTTGGGACCCCTGGCACTGGGACTTACACTCCCCGGCAGGTGTCTCTTCTCTCACTTCTGCCAGGTGCCACCCTTAGCTCTGGGCTGTTCTTCAGACTGTCTCGACGCGGGAGGACTGGGTGATCAGATCCAGCGCCTAGGCTGGTTCTCGTTCAAAGCTCATGAAGAATTAGAGACCTAGACATGGAGAGGAGATAGCCACGTGGGGTTTATCAAGAGCAGGAAGAACAGAGCTCCAGAGCAGGAAGGGGTCCCAAATGGGTTACCAAGGGGAGCTGAGGCAAGGTTTCTTTGTTTGTTTGTTTGTTTGTTTGTGTGTTTTTGAGAGGTTTTTGCTATAGGGCACATGCGCTCACCAGAGAGACAGAGAGACAGAGAGACCGAAAGCGAGAAATCACACCCCAGGGGCATGGGCATGCCACAATCCCTTCTCCTCCATTGTCCTCTCGGAATCTTGGGCACACACGCACACGCCCTCGGTGTGAGTTTAAGCCACCAGATCTGGGACTCGAACCGTGGTCAACTACATGGGGGTCTAGTAATTCAGCCATTATGCCATCTGCTGGACCCAAGGCGATGGGTTTTTATCGAGCACTCTGAGCGCCGGGCTGGCTCTCTGATAGAGAAGTGGGCTTTAGAAAATAGTTACATGGTAGTTTGAGTGATTGATTACCCCATTCCACAGACCACAGCAATCTGTACTTCTTGATAGAATGTAGCTACTAAATAGAAACTGTTGCTCCCAGCTGCATTTGCTTCCAGTCCAGTCCCATGCAGTCAGCTTTTTTTTTTTTTTTTTGTAGTTTTAGATTGGTGCTACAGGGCTCATGTGCTTGCCAGAAAGACAGAGAGGCAGAGAGACAGAAAGCGAGAAATCACCCCCCGGGAAGATGACCACGCCACAATCCCCTCTTCATTCTCCTCTCGGGATCTTGGGCACGCACACACATGCACCTGGCGTGAATTTAAGCCACTGGGTCCGGGACTTGAACTGCAGTTGACTACATGGCAGTCTAGCGACATAGCCATTACGCCAACTGCTGGTCCCTGGAGCCAGCTTTTGAAACTGAAAACTTAGCCATCTTGACTCCATCTTGGGCCTTATCCCATCGGGGTGTTCAGTATTCCTATCTCTTGCCTTATTAGTAAGGAGTCATAAATTCTTTAGAGACATGTAAAATATATATATATATATATATACACACACACACACATATATATCTTTCACCTTAACCAGACTATAGAGGGAAAACACAGAGGCTTCCTTAAAAAGAAAAACATCATGACTTTCTTTTGGGGCCCTTACTCTATCTACCTGTAAATGGAGTCTAAATCTTATCTCTCTGAGTCCTGGTCATTGGTGGGAGAAAGGAGAGAAAAAGAGTCCTTTCTGGCCCCGGGTCACTGCAGAGTGTCCCCCTCAGCCTGGCCTCCACCAGCTCACAAACAAGTGACAGCAAGAAGTGGTTTCCTTCCCTGTCCCCTTGGAGTTTCTAGGCTCCCAGATTCTGGGTTTCTGTGACTCTGATTCTGTGACTCAGGGCAATCGCTGCCTCTCTGTGGGAGGCCCGAGGATGGAGTCCGGACATGCAGTCAGCTTTTCCATGTTTCCTTCGAGCGAACACGAGCACAGTGGCAAATGCATCAATGAAAACAATGTGGCTCTCGTGGTTCCGGAGCCCAACTTCCCACACTCCCACACGGGTCTCACCAGGCTGGTGTGAGGGTGTCAGCCGGGCTCTGCTCCCTCTGGTGGTTCTGGAGACTCTTAACTCCCTTTCCCAGCTCGAATTCCCCAGCCTGTCTTCAGGGCCGGCAATGGCCGGAGGTCTCTTACCCCTTCCCTCTGGCCCTGATTCCCCTCTCCCCCTTCTGATGACCCTCTTGGTGATGCTGGGCCCACTTGGGTAACCCGGGCACTCTCTCATTTGTCCCTTACTTTGGTCCATCTTCCATGTTCTCGTGAGGTGACATGGTCCTAGGTTTGGGGCATTAGGACATGGACATCTTGGGGACCGTTCTGCCTGTCACAGTAGACATCACGGGAGGATATTTTGGTCTCTGCTGTGAGCACCAGGCTGAGCTAAGCTTTTTGATAAGAACACTCAGGTCCTCAGCTTACTGGAGGACCTCTGGCCTATGTGGGGGCTGGCTTGGCATGGTCTGATGGGGTGACAGCCTGTCCTCCGGGCCCTGGTGTGATGAGGGTGTGTGGGGGTCAGTGCTGGAAGTGACAGGCAGCCCATTATGTCGTCTTACCAGATCCCTCCGAACCTCCCCTGCTCTGTGACGTTGCAGCCAGGGCCTGAAGATACCGGGAAGGTAAGGTGACCTGAAGGGGCCCAGCTCTGAGCCCAGAATGCTCTGTCTCAGGCCCCTGGGGGTGGCGGGGTACTGGACATGAGATTGCCCTTCCTGTGGGGGCTCCTTGTGTCCAGACTGGGCTGTTCACCTCGGACGAGCAGTCACCTTTCAAAGACCCATGGCCAGACACAGGGTCAGCCTTGCTCTGACAGGTGGGAACCTTCAGTATCATGTCCGGAGCTCTCCTGGGCCCCCTGCTGGCCGTGCTGTCAACTGCAGTGGGACAGAAGTGCTCTCCGTACACCCACCTGGCCTCACATAACCCCAGCAGCCTGGTCCAGAGTGGTGATTGCCGTCTTTCACAGATGAGGGAACTGAGGCGCCGAGACAGGTGACACCTCTGGTGTCCAGGCCCCAGAACACTGAGCCCATTCCCCACGTGCGGAGTGGAGCTTACGTATGCGCCGCCTCATGTCAGAGAGTGGCCGAGGCCAGAGCACGCCCCGAGGGCCTCACACATGGCAGGGCTCCGAAAGTGCTGCTGTGCCTCTGTGAGGACCGTCACCTGGACTGAGGCAGAGCTCAAAGCGTGGAGCCCAGCCAGTGTGGGTGGGGTGTCCCACGTTGGGACCATTGGGGAGAAGTTCCGTCGAAGGTCAGATGCGGGCAGCCCTGGGGCTGAGCACAGGTGGGGTAGACCTGGCAGCTGCTGGGCCCAGGAGCATGGTGTTCTTGGTCGGCACCCCTGTGTGTAAAAAGAAAGGGTGGGCCAGCCACGCCAGAGACCGAGCCGCTCCAGGGCCCATGGCCAGTGCCCCCTCCCCGCAGGCCTGTGGCGTGGACTACGAAGTCAAAGCCTTCTGCGCGGAGAACCTGGAGGAGAAGATCCACAAGCGGTGAGCTGCGGGCCGTGGTGTGTGCCTGGGCCGTCTGCGCTGGGGAGGGAGGCAGGGCGGGCACAGTCTGAAGAGATAAGTCATGCCTGGAAGTGCACGGGCCTCGCTGAAGGCAGGTCAGGGAGGGCTCTCCGGGGGAGGTGTGAGCCAGGGAGGTGCCCTGGCTCAGGCTTCAGCATCTTCTGCTGTGCACAGGGTAGCGCTCCCTCGCTCACCTCCCTGCCTCAGCCTCCCCACTCCAGACTGCCTGTCTTCTGGCTTTGTTTTGGAAAATACCCCAGGCTCAGATGGTGTTGGACAGTGAGCAGGGTTTCTCGGCCCTCCCAGTTTCCTGTGGTCCCTGCAGGCGTCTGCAGGAGGTCCAGGTGGGGGTGTTGACTGAGGTTTCTAAGCAGGGAGGGAAGTAGGAAAAGGGAACCCACCCAGGAGAGAGAGGGTCTGCCCACGTCCCAGAGAGGGGAAGTGCTCTGGAGAGGCGCAGCTCACTTGGCATAGAGCCCAGGCTGGCAGCCAGAAACAACTACCCTCGATTTCTTAGACTCTGCCCCACCCCGCCCCTGGCGGCCCAAGCTCCTGCGTCCCAGGCAGCTTCCTCCAGGAGGCTGGGCACAGGGCTTCCTTGGGGAGTGGGCTGAGCCTGCCCTCTGGTGGTGATAGACTGTATTGCAGGCATTTCCTTCCAGAACCTCGATAGCTCCTATGGGGAGAGATGGTACTTTCCTCCTTGCGTCTCTGTGAGCAGTTTCCTCCTGAGACCCAAGACAGGAGAATTGAAGGGTGCTGTGGAAAGGGGCTTGACCAGAGAGCCACCACCCTCACTCCATGACAGTGGGACATTTTAATTTCACATCAGCCTTACCAGCGATAGTGAGGCTGTTGCTCTCGTTTAGCCAGGGCTCAGTGGCTGCCAGCCATGCTCAGAGTGCTGGGCAACTGAGAGCTAATGCAATCCTTGCAGCAACGTGGAGGTGGTCCTGCTCTTGTTGCCATTTTACAGAGGAACCAAGGCAGAGAGGGGTGAATTTACTCAAGATTAGTCAGAGAAGAGAGAGGGAGGTTTAACCCGGGAGTGGGAAGGGGGGCCGCTATTATACCTGCCACGGAGACCACCTCATGGTCCCTGCCCCTCACCAGTCCCTCGTGACCTGGTGCCCTCACTGAGGTCTGGGCACTCCATTCAGCTCATCCCTCCTTGGGCCTCCACCCCTCACTGTGTGTGTCCTCTGCTCTGGCCTACATCCCTGAGCTGAACCTGTGCACTCTCACTGAGCCCCAACTCTTCCCAAGCCCCTATTTTTTCACAGGGCTCCTGTGCCTTGAGCTTATTCTTACTGGAGACGTACCAGGTGTTTATTATATGGCAGGCACTGTCAGAGACTCTGTGAATATAGCAATAGACACTTTAGATAAGGGCTGGCCCTGTAGTGTAGCCCAGTGGTGAAGTGCCATGCAATGGGAACTGGATTCCACATGGCTGACCGTGGTTCAAATCCTGGCCCTGGCTGGAAACTGAGTGTGCATGCCCCAAAACCCAGCAGGACAGGGAAATGGAATAGAAGGGATTGTGGTGTGACCACACTGCACTGAGGGGTGCTTTCTCCTCTCTCTCTGTCTCTGATGGGTGCAAGGCAATGAAAAGAAATAGAGAAAACTCTTTAGCCAGAAGTTTCTGTCCGTAGGGAGCACATACTGGGAGGTGACTGGGAGGTGGATGTGCAACCTCGGACCCTTTCTTGGCATCCTGCTGGGCACCAAGACAGACCAAATGCAGTGTTGTCATGAGGCAGTCTGGGGATAGAATGGGGGAGGAGGGAAGGGGGCAGTTGGTGACAGGCACAAGGGCAACCTCTGCAGTCTGACTGGATTCAAAGGCAAGGGGGAGCCACAGCGGTCTCTTGAGCAGGAGAGTGATGTGAGGATCTTGTGGGAAGGGAATAAGGCAGTAACTCTGGTCCCAGCTCACTCTGCCCATCTCCATCAGGAATTCTGTGCGCCTGGTCATCCGGAAGGTTCAGTATGCCCCAGAGAGGCCTGGCCCGCAGCCCACAGCGGAGACCACCAGGCAGTCCAGCGATAGTGAGGCTGTTGCTCTCGTTTAGCCAGGGCTCAGTGGCTGCCAGCCATGCTCAGAGTGCTGGGCAACTGAGAGCTAATGCAATCCTTGCAGCAACGTGGAGGTGGTCCTGCTCTTGTTGCCATTTTACAGAGGAACCAAGGCAGAGAGGGGTGAATTTACTCAAGATTAGTCAGAGAAGAGAGAGGGAGGTTTAACCCGGGAGTGGGAAGGGGGGCCGCTATTATACCTGCCACGGAGACCACCTCATGGTCCCTGCCCCTCACCAGTCCCTCGTGACCTGGTGCCCTCACTGAGGTCTGGGCACTCCATTCAGCTCATCCCTCCTTGGGCCTCCACCCCTCACTGTGTGTGTCCTCTGCTCTGGCCTACATCCCTGAGCTGAACCTGTGCACTCTCACTGAGCCCCAACTCTTCCCAAGCCCCTATTTTTTCACAGGGCTCCTGTGCCTTGAGCTTATTCTTACTGGAGACGTACCAGGTGTTTATTATATGGCAGGCACTGTCAGAGACTCTGTGAATATAGCAATAGACACTTTAGATAAGGGCTGGCCCTGTAGTGTAGCCCAGTGGTGAAGTGCCATGCAATGGGAACTGGATTCCACATGGCTGACCGTGGTTCAAATCCTGGCCCTGGCTGGAAACTGAGTGTGCATGCCCCAAAACCCAGCAGGACAGGGAAATGGAATAGAAGGGATTGTGGTGTGACCACACTGCACTGAGGGGTGCTTTCTCCTCTCTCTCTGTCTCTGATGGGTGCAAGGCAATGAAAAGAAATAGAGAAAACTCTTTAGCCAGAAGTTTCTGTCCGTAGGGAGCACATACTGGGAGGTGACTGGGAGGTGGATGTGCAACCTCGGACCCTTTCTTGGCATCCTGCTGGGCACCAAGACAGACCAAATGCAGTGTTGTCATGAGGCAGTCTGGGGATAGAATGGGGGAGGAGGGAAGGGGGCAGTTGGTGACAGGCACAAGGGCAACCTCTGCAGTCTGACTGGATTCAAAGGCAAGGGGGAGCCACAGCGGTCTCTTGAGCAGGAGAGTGATGTGAGGATCTTGTGGGAAGGGAATAAGGCAGTAACTCTGGTCCCAGCTCACTCTGCCCATCTCCATCAGGAATTCTGTGCGCCTGGTCATCCGGAAGGTTCAGTATGCCCCAGAGAGGCCTGGCCCGCAGCCCACAGCGGAGACCACCAGGCAGTTCCTCATGTCGGACAAGCCCTTGCACCTAGAGGCCTCCCTGGACAAGGAGGTAGGAGGCTCTGAGTTGGTTGGGGGTGAGGGCTGCTCCTCTAGGGTTTGGGCCTCAGATCCCAGCCCTTCCTGACCTCCGGGGACTCCTCAGGTAGGAGCTTCCACTCTAGCCTGAGGCCTGCTTGGGGGCCTTGGGGAGCCTTTTGGGACGGTGGGCATGAGCCTGAGGTATGGAGCGACTTCAGAGGGCAGCAGTGTACCCTCTGGAAGGCCCTGGCCATCTCCCCACACGCCTGCCCACCAGCCCGGCAGCGGGTGGGAGTCCGTGAGCTCCCTGCCTAACCCTGCACTATCAGCCCACAGACCGTGCTGGAGGAAGGGGACTCCTGTCAAGTTCTACATCAAAGCGAACTGATCACACCCTGCCCTGAGCTCAGGCTGGCCCCTCCTTCAGGGGCGGCTCCCCACTTGCTCTTGGGGGCCACTGAGGGCAAGTGCCTAGGACAAGACAAGGTGGAGGCCCTCGGTGAGAATCCAGAGCTGGCTCCCTCTCAGCCCTTCCTCACTTCCCCTGCTTCTGCCAGAGCCTCCCGTGTCTAGCTACACTCTCAGGCCTATGGAGCCAGCAGGAACTTGGGCCATTTACCTCATCTGACCCCTTCACTATACAGAGGAGGAAACTGAGGCTCAGCTCCCCTGTCCAAGGTCACACTGCTGTCGTCATCTTTGTCCTTGTTGCTGTGGTCATTATGACTAGCAGCCACGCCAGGGCCGGGGCCTGGGAATTCACCCTCCTCTTCAGCTGTCCTTCAGGGGTCCCACAGGGAGGCTAACATGCTCGGTGACCTCAGTGCCACCTTAGCGTGCGTGGCCCATTTCTGATGAACTCCGGGCAAATAGAACGGCCACGGCCTGGGGCACCCCAGGAGGTTTGTGTGGGCCTTTCTCTTCCCTTTACCTAGGACGTTTAGGGTACTTGGCCTCGTCCTTCTCAACCCACTCTCTCCCTCCTTACTCCTCCCAGATCTACTACCATGGAGAACCCATCAGTGTCAACGTCCACGTCACCAACAACACCAACAAGACAGTGAAGAAGATCAAGATCTCAGGTACTCAGGGAGAGGCCAGCTCTGGGAGGGGGCCAAGGGGAGAGCCCCCAAGGGCCAAGGGAGCTAGAGATCTCCCCTTGTTACCCGCCCTGTCTGTAAATAATGCCTGACGCCTGGGGCTTGCTCTGAGCCAAAGGGGAAGGCTTTGATGCTGGGTATGCCGGCTGCCGACTGGCCGGTGAGTGAGTTTACCATGTAAGCCTTTTTCCGGGGTTCTTGGGCTCTGGGCAAGGCTGTTCCAGAAGGGAAGAGTTGGTTATGGGAGGGAATGGATGGCTCGGGGCTGCCCTATGGGGGATGATCGAGGTCTCCTGCCGAACCTCCATGACCACCACCACCTTGTGGACTCTGACCATTGCCTGGGGTTGTACACCCTACACCCACACCTTGGGACACTTGAGCTGTCCCCAGCCCCCCGGCCATCGTCCTGGCTCATGTCGTCCCACTTCCCTCCCTCCCTAGTGCGCCAGTATGCCGACATCTGCCTTTTCAACACTGCTCAGTACAAGTGCCCTGTGGCCATGGAAGAGGCTGAGTAAGTGAAAGCAGTTGGCCTTGGCTGTGGGGTTGGGGCAGGAGGGGGCCACGTGGCTCCTGTCCACCTGGCAGAGGGCTGGGCCTTCACCGTTCTCACCAGTCAGAGTAAATGCTTTTAGAAGCCATCTGGCTGATTTAGCTACAGGAGAACGCACCCTGCGATCGAGGGAAAGGCTTGCATGCCGCGATCAGGGACAGGCCTGCTGAAACCAGAACGACAAAAAGATGCACATCAGGGGAAAGCGAGAAGATAACGGGCCTGTTCCAGAAAGCTAGGGGGAAGGGAGACGCTTTGCTCTGAGCTGTCTGGTAGGCAAAGTGAAAGGGGTAAGGCACTTGCTACAGTTTTTCTTGTTTGCTAAGAGAGCCATCCAGCTGCTGTACCCAGGAAGGAGGGCAGACGATCATTTTACTGGTAGCAAAGCCACCCTTGGTGTGACTATGGTTAACATGGAACTTGGTCTCAAGCTCGTTGACAGCCGTGGCCAGAAAAGAGCTCTCCAGCAAAACATCAAGTCAGCAGATACTCCCATTAGAAAACGCACTGTCCTCCTGGCCCTGTGAATAACTTCGTGGGGCAGTTGCCTCTTCTGCGATCTGACATGTTTACGTGTGGTAATTTACATGTTCTTGCAGTCAGTAGTTTCTGCAGCTTAAAAACTCTCTCACTCTTATTAACTGTTACCCCATGGTCTTCGAGATCATTCTTCATGTCCTGTCGTCGCATGAACACGCTCTGATTAGGTCAAACATGCCTTCCTTGGATAGTTGGATATTCCCATGAGTGGTTTTTTTTTATAAATTTATTTTTTATTTTTTTATTCACTGCTACTGATTTAAAAAGAAACGAACAATAGCATCCAACAACCCAAGCCATGAGACATAGAGTTCTGGCAAGGTGTTGGCAGTAAAGGGAGTGATTTAGAGCCAGAGTAAGGTGTAATCCGCTAAGAGCAAAGCCCAGACAACACCTGCATAGTGAACCCCAGCTCGGAGCGTCAGGAAGGCTTGGAGTGTCAGGGCAGTGTGAGCACCCTAGTCCTGTTTCATTCACACGAAGCCCTGTGGGGTTGAGTTGCTGCCGCCTCTGAAGGTAGGCCAGGAAGTGGGGTTAGAACCAAGTGCCTCCCTCTGCCTCACAGAGCAAGCAAGCGGCAGAACTAGGGCTTGAACCCATGTCGTCCACTGCTTGTTGGCTATTCACTGGACGTCAGGCTGGGCAGTAGAATGGAGCAGCCAGAACACCTGCCCGGGTCGGGAGGTGTGCGCTTCACTCACAGAACCTGGGCAGCAGTTCGTGGGTGTCCGGGTGCTCCATCCGTGGTTGCGCTGCTGTGGTTTAAGCCCCGTGTGCTGAGTAGCATGTGCAATTTGACAGGATAACCTCTCAGTGCAGATATCCCAGGTCGTGTGTCGCAGGTAGATGAGCCTCTTGGGTGGCTGTGGCTTCCCCACTTGGCCCAAGTGGTCCTGCGGTTGAGGGACAAAGGTCAGGTTAGGGAGTCCAGAGCAAGGCCAGTCTGTCCTGGCTGGGTGGAGGGTGAGGGCTGGGGTTGTCCAGGGAGGGCCGTCTCACACCTGCATCCTGTCTTCCCAGTGACACGGTGGCACCCAGTTCGACATTCTGCAAGGTCTACACTCTGACCCCCTTCCTGGCCAACAACCGGGAGAAACGGGGCCTGGCCCTGGACGGAAAGCTCAAGCATGAAGACACGAACCTGGCCTCCAGCACCCTGTGAGGGCTCCCTCACCATGGATCCATACCCTCCTCGGTCCCACCAGGGCAAGGACAAGGCCGGGGCTACCCTCTTCCCCCACTTCGTTGGGGCTTGTCCTCGGCTGCTTGAGGACCTCCCAGAGGCAGACCGAGTCCGGAAGGGGTGGTTTCTGGAAGGATCCTAGTGGGAGAGGATGTGCAGGAGAGGCTAGGGTGTTTGCAGACGTCGTGGTGGTGAGCTGGCTAGACCAGCCGTGGGCTGCCCCTCAGAGTCAGGGCCACGGTCCTCGCTGACTCCTCCTGGCCAGCCTGTGCTGGCAGAGTGCTGGCAGAGCCCGGATGTATGAGGGGCTCCCCTGCTGGGGCCAGGCCCTGGGTGGGCTTTAGCCCAGCACTGCAGTGCCCTCTGCACCGTTCTACAGACTCCGTGCTGACAGCTAACCTCGAGCCGTTGCCCTCTTCACCCTGCCTCAGGTCCTGCCTGTCTTCAAGACCTATTGGGGCATCACCTCCTTGGAGAAGTCCCTCCCTGACCCCACTTCACCCCCACACCCCCCACCCTCACCCTCTCTGAGCTCCTCGTCTGGCCCTTTCTGACCCCCTCTTCAGGTCACTGGCATAAACCTATTGGCCAGAGGAGGAAGGGCCCTGGTCCTCGCTGAGCTGGGAGCACTGCCTTGGGGGAGAGGGTCTGAGCAGGGCCGTCGTCAGCGACGGTGCAGGTGGATCTGACGCCGGGGCTCCTTGTGCCCACTCTGCCCTCCCTCTCCCCTCTGCCAGGCCCAGGCAGGCACATAGGCTCTGTGAGACCTGGTGGACAAGTGGCCCAGGAGCGCGAGGGTGGATAGAGGTGGCCCCACCACACCCAGCCCTGCCATGTCCCACCCTGCCAGCCCCCTCGATCCACCAGCCCTTGTCCACTTTGCAGGCTGCGGGAAGGAGCCAACCGCGAGATCCTGGGGATCATCGTCTCCTACAAAGTGAAAGTGAAGCTGGTGGTGTCTCGGGGCGGGTGAGTCTCCAGCCCAGCCCAGGGCCCCCGTGCAAGGTGCAGTTTCCCTGAGCTCCATAGTCCCATTTGCCTGTTTGCCCAACTTTTAGCTGCATCCACTTCTGGGGAGAACTGGGCTTGAGGACTTCCTGTCCCTTCTTCCTTCTCCACTTCTTCAGTTCTCCCATCTTTCTCCCATTCCTCCTCTCTCTCATATCTGGGCCTTTCACGGACTGGGCATGGGCCTGCAGTGGGGGTGAGGGGTCCTTGGAGTCTGTGCTGTGGGGCCCCAGGGGTGCCAGGCCCCTCATCACTCCTTGGGCATGTCGCTGATTCCCCACTCCTGCCCAGGCTGATCTGGGCTGAAGGGGTGCAGGATCCCAGAGCTGGGTAGCAGATTTGCCTGTTAAAACAAGGCCCAGATAGTCCCCCAGCCATTTCCTCAAATCTCCCACAACTCAGATCAAGGCCTGGGCACTAGGACACTCCCTGCCCTGGACCCAAAGAACTCTTCATTTATTGGGCCTACGTGTTGTAAGTCTAGAATTTGGATTTTTAATTGGTCATAAGGATTTTTATTTTCTAACTTAGTTCCTAGATTTCTACAAAAAGTCTAACAAGTTAAACGCTCCTGGACACTGAGTCCCCTTTATTATTTGAATAACGCCTCTGTGCAGGTGGCCGGGTGTAATCCTATCCGTATATTTTAGAACACCTCCAAATTGCAAATCTGAAATCCTGAGTCATGGGACCTTGTGGGACTACCAGTCTTCCATGGGCTCCTGCGAACCCCCCAAGTGCTGCTTTCTGTCATTAGGTAGCCTCGGCCTCCCCTGGGGCACGCAGCCCAGGGGGTGGCTCTGCCCCCTCCCTTCCAGCTGAGGATCCTGGGGGCTGAGGACTGTGCTGAGCTGGTCCACGGGCACAGCTGGGCAGTCAGTGGCCAGGACAAGCAGCAGAGCAGTGCGGCGGGCCTTGTCTGTGGGGCAGCAGAGGTGAATGAACGTGCTTCTGTTTTCTTCCTCTGAACTCTCTCCTGACCACTTCTCCTGCCTCCTCTGACCCACCAGCCTATTGGGAGACCTTGCGTCCAGGTAAAGTCCCTCCCCTTGATCTGTGTGACCTTCTTCTTGGAGGGCCCAGAGACCACTGGCCTGATGGACTAGAAAAAACCACAGGGCCCTGGGGTGGAAGGAGTCTTAGTGGTCACTGCAGGTGGCCAGGTTCGGGTGTGTGCTGGGGCTGGAGCCCTCTCCAGAGGGACTAGGAACGCATCTCTCCTTAGGAAGCTACCCCTGCCCTAATATCCCACTTCGTGGCAGGGACCTTTATGACAGCAAAGCCCAACTGCCTTGGTCTGGGGAGTGGCCCCACAGAGGACTGTCTGAATTATTGATCACCTGAATTATAGGATGTCTGGAGAAGTGCAGGCTTTGTGACCTTCTGATTTCTGCACTAATGGGAATTAGCTGCTGCCGGAGTGTCCTAAGGAGAGGTCCTTAGGCAATCTACTTCCGTAGACCAGTTCCCTTGGAGCTAGCTGAATGGATTTACATTCCGAAAACTCATGTGCCCCAACCACAGCCAGCTGGCCTCCTCCTGTCACAAGTCTGCAGTGTTACCAATCCCGAGGAATCTTAGTCCAATTTGAGAGGAGGTCGGTTCCATTCAGCTCAGTTCAGTATATTTCAGCAAAGAGTTCCTGAACCCAGACTTGTGCCCAGCCTAAGTCCCAGGGAGGAATCAGAACCAGTCCCTGCCCACGCTGCTCACGACCTGCTGGAAGGTTAAGGCCTCACTTCTTCCATCCATCTCCTGCACAGCCTTAGTGAAGGCGGACAAGCTTGTCTTCATTCTGATAACTCCCCCTTCCCAGGGAACCCAGAGAAGCACCCCCTTTGGGAAGCCAAAGAAAAAAGCCCAATTCTTTGAAGAGCCTTGTTAAACCCCCGTGTCCCCACGGAGGGAAGTAATGATTCTGACGGGCACAATTTTTTTTTTTTGGAGAGGTTTTTGCTATAGGGCGCGTGTGCTCGCCAGACAGACAGAGAGAGACAGAGAGACAGAAAGCGAGAAATCACCCCCCGGGGGGATGGCCACACCACAATCCCTTCTTCTCCATTCTTCTCTTGGGACCTTGGGCACACACGCACACACACCCGGCATGAATTTTAAGCCACCCGGTCCGGGACTCGAACCGCGGTCGACTACATGGGAGTCCACCGACATAGCCATTACGCCAACTGCTGGTCCCGCTGAGGGCACAATTTGACCAAGCCTTCTCCCTCCATTTTCTCTTGGAAGTTCCTGTGATTCTAGAAGGTAGACGCTGTTATCCCATTTTCTAGTTGAGCCAGTGAGACAAAATTGTCACGTGCTCTGCCAATGAGTGGTGGGGGTGATGGGACAGACCTTTCTGGCCATGACATTATGTCCCTGCCTCTTCCTTCCCAATTGTGCCCTGGGCAGCGAGATGGGTGGGATGTAGCCCAGGCCTGGAGGCGCTCACAGCTAGGGGTCTCTTAGAGGGCTGCTGCCACAGGCTGGAAGGAGCCTTCAGGGCTGCTTGTCAGTCTCACCCTGCCACTGTCACAGAGAGGTCAGGGTGGG